AAAAAAAAAAAGAAAGAAAAAGGATGTGAGGAGAAAGAGAAGGGATGAGATTTCTCGCCAGTTGGTAGCTGGGCTGGGGGGCTGCGTTGCCCCCTGCCCCAGCTGGCGGGGCTTTGGGGTATTGCTGGGGGTGGGCTGGGGGGCGGGCAGCTTTCTCCTTTCCCCATCTCCCCTGGAATCACTTACAGAAAAAAACAGGAGAAAAAAAAAAATTGTTTACAAAGCACACTTTCCACAGTACCGTTAACCCTCTGGATGCCAAACAGACACATAAAGAGCCGCTCCTCCCTGGACGCCGTGGGACGAAGGGGCGGTTGCAGCGACAGCATTGTCCTGCTTCCCTCGGTTTCATTTATTATTATTTTTTTTTTGTACATGCAACCCCGCTTCCTCCATTGCCGCAGCCACGCGCGTCTGGTGGGAGCTTGCTTTTTGGGGGGCCGGAGGGGTATTTGCTTTCTGCCCCCTCCCAGGCTCTTCCTGCTTGGCTGTCGGGAGCGGTGGGAAGAGCCGCGTGGGAAAGCGCCCGTCTCCGCTCGGGGAGGTTTTGGCTCCGTGGGAGATGCCGGCACCCACTCCCTGCCCTCCCACATGCACTTTAAGGCCAAACTTCTCTTTTTTTTTTTCTTCCCCCCCTGTGGGGCCAGCAGAGAGCAGGCAAGGGATGCTCCCGCAGCCCTGGGGCGGATGCAGGACCCTTCCGTACGGCTGTGCGGGCTCCGGTCCCTTTGCGTTTCCCTCGTGGGAAAGCCCTATAGAAATCCTCCTGGAAACACCTACCTTGCCGTAGGCTTCTCAAGCCATCCTTTGGGCATTCGGAGATCGCACCCCTGCACCAGCTCCCTGGGGAGCATCCCTGGATCCCCAAGGGAGCATCCCTGGCTCTCCCGGGGAGCCCAGACTTTTTAATCCCCTTTGATAGGTTTGTAGAGTCTCTGAACCCTTGTAGACCTCCACAGGTAGCTCTTGATTTAATTCCCTCCTAACTCCATAGTGCTTTCCCCTAAGGCAGGATTTTCTTCCGGACCCAACAGGTCTCTGGTTGCATGGGACAACTTTTTTCCTCTTTTTAAGAAGAACTTCTTGCCTATGGATATAAAGACTAGACCATTCAACCTCGTTTCCATTTCTTGAATGTCGAGTATTACAATGTATAACACACATTAGGGTGCTCTTTGGTGCTGTTTCAATGGTAACCAGTGGAACTGACTTTTTTTAATAACAATAACAATAAAGGAAACTTTAGTACTGCTGGTTCCATACTGTTTGTCATTGTGACTTTTTTTTTTCCTCTTTTTGTTGTTGTTTTTTTAATTTTTACTAAAAAGTGAGTAGCAATCAGCTGCCGAATCTCTGTGGTGTTGATTTTACTGACTTGTGCACGGCAAACCGCTGGCCGCTGCCTGGCTGGGCAGCGTGGGCGGCTGCTGCGAGCCGGGCGGGCTGTGTAACAGGTTAGTGGGAGTCGGGTTCGAGTCGCTTCGTTTTTTTTTAAATTGCACACAGCAAAAATAGCATTTGATGGGAGCCCAGACGGCAACTAGAGGGTTAATTTTCGAACTTCAGGTATGTTCCTCAAAAGAAGAAAATAAAATAAAAAAAAAATAAAAAAAATAAGAGAAACAAAACACTATTTTTTCAGTAAGCTTTTTTTTTCTGTAAACGATTTACAAATAAATCTGACATGATGGTGCTGTACCAAAGCCTTATACGAAACTTATTCCGCGCTCTATATAATCTCTCTGTATCTGTATTGTTGCTCTCGGCCTCCGTGCTCGCGAAGGCCTGTAAAATGCCAGCAGGAGGGACCGGCGGCGTGCTCGGCATCGGCATCCCCGGGAATGGCCGGGCTCCTGCCCGGAGCCGGTGCGGGACCGCGGGGAGGGGAAGCCAAACTTCAGCGCAGCTCCCCAGGTGTGCGATACAAGTTGGGGGTCCCTCACCCCAAACTCTCTTTCCGACTGGGTGCTAGCCTGTCCTCGGCAGGTAACCGAGACCTCGCCGGGAGCGCTGCCCGCTCCTCCCGGCCCCCCCACTGCAGGCAGCGGCTGGGCAAACTCAGAGCTGGTCTCTAAGGGGATAATGACCCGCTGAGCCCCCTCAGCCGGGGGGGTGGGTTTTTTTTTTTACATCTTCCAGGTCAGCCCGACCTACGCGGTGCTTGGCCAAGGCAGACCTCTCCTGGCTCTCGCCCTGCGAGCCCTGTCCCTGCTTTTGCCCATCCGCCCTTGGGGACGGCCGGGAGCTGGGTCTGCTTTGATAGCTCTAAGCAATAATCCCATTCTGCCGAGAAAGTTGGGTCCCTTTGGCTCTTGGACTATTGTCAGTTAACGAGTTAAATGCTAATAAGCCAACAAAAATTGGAAGAAATGAGAGTTTGAAGCCCTGCCTTACTGGGAATAGCTGGTCCCTCGGTCTCTGCCTGCTGGGATTTTAAGGCCTGCTGAGTACTTAACAAGTTATCGCCGGTAACTTTGCATGTTCATAGATTGACTTTTTGGTTTTTTATTTTGATGTACCCACTATAAGAAATTCTGGCAGTGTTGCAATGTTGCGTACAACTAGCCAAGCTGTAAGAGAATGATGGGTTTTGGAATCGATTAACTTGCTCCTCATGTAACATTACCCTGCTTCAGAAATGTTTTGTATTTTGATATAAATAAACATTTGCTAAAAAAAAAAAAAAAAAAAAAGACTTGTTGGTGTCGTTGATTTGGCTTGGGGGGCTATGGGGAGGAGGTGGGCTGCCCCGGGGATGTTTGCGGAGAGGTCGCTTCTCCCTCGGGATGTGTGAAGGTGCTGGGCTTTTCTTTGCCCTGAGCATGCTGTGGGGTGTAAGGGGGAATGCCCTTATATTGGGGTGCCCCGAGGCACGTCCTCCCCGTCGGGTCTCCGTGAGCTATGCAGCCACCCGGGACTTCTTGCAGGGTGTCTCCAGCCTTCAGCAATGCTTCTTGCTCTCCCCTGTCCCATTCAGCCACGCTCGCAGGAGGGTTTACAAAAAAGCCTGCGTGAGCTGCGCCCCGCGTCCCCCCGCCCTGTAGCCCGGTGCCACAGTCTTGGCTCCCGTGGGGGCCCTGATTTGGGATTTGGTCCCTTGGGATTTGCTCCCTGTAGCTCCCTTGTCCCCGTTGCTCTGGGAACCCTGTGCTGGGACGCGGTGCCGGTTCCGGCTCTGACCCAATAATGTGCCGGGCCTGGGGCGTCGGCGGTGCCACCGACGGGCGCCCAGGATGATCATTTCCACGTGGCTGGTGTATATCACGGCACGGAAAGGCATCGGCGCTCCCTTCCTCTCTGCTGGCACCCGGGTAAGCAGTGGGGCGGGGAAGGGGCTTTGCCGGTGGTGCCGAGGGCTTTGCGGCAGGGTTCTTCCCCCC